GAGTGTGGGAAGGACCTGTAAATGTGATAGTATATCACTCCCATGACTTTAAAAAAAGAGATACTATCCTGGGCAGACCTGACTTAATTGGATAAGCCCTCAATAGGGACCAAGTTCTTCTTGAAGAAATTCAAAGTGTGAGAAGGCTTCCATGTGAGCAGGATTCTTTGTTGCTGGCTCTAAAGATGGAGGAGGCCATGTGGCAAGAAATGTAGACAGTTTCTAGGAGCTGAAGGGCATTCCCTGGCTGACAGTGACCAAGGAAACAAGAAACTCAGTATTATAACCACAAGGAACTGAATCTGGCCAGTAATTGAATGGGGTTGGAAGCAGATTTCTCTTGTCTACAGAAAGGAACACAGTCCTGCTGTCAACCTGATTTCAACCTGTGAGACCCTTAGCAGGGAACCCAGCTATGTCATGCCCTGGACTCTTGGCAGAACTATGTGATATTAAATGTCTCTTGTTTTTAAGTTACTACGTTTGTGGTGATTTGCCATGCACCAATAGAAAACTAATACAATTACTGCCACCCATACAAAGATATAGAATGTTTAGAACATATAGAATATTTCTAGCATTCCAGTGTTGCCCTTTATGATTAAAAACTATTAATACTACTACAGTATTGAACTTTCACAACAGCCCTTCAAAGTAACTAATAATTTACCCATTTTATTGGTAATTGAAGCAAGGTCCAGAGACTGATACGTCATCATTTTGACATCTGCTCTGTGTCTGATGCTAGACTAGACTCTGAGAATACAGGAGATGAGTAAGATGAGAGTTTTAAGTGATTTCTGGGGTCTCCTATTGGAGACGTGGAGTCAGACATAAACCAGGACCTCTGACTCGAGTCTAGCCCTTTTTCTGCTATCCCTTAATATGCTTGGGAGGTGTGGGGGAGGATGTCTTAACGTTTGGGTTTGTCTGCAGTAGTGGAGTTCATCAACTCTCTAGTTTCTAAATGCATCCAAATGGTGGAGTGAATGATAAAATAGTGTTTTATGTTGTTCGATGAAAACCAAACTAATGACTTTATGGATGAGACCTCACTATGAGGTTGTTTAGAAAATGGAAAGGTGCTATCACAACAAAGTGGACAAAGCTACTTTAAAAAAAAAAA